ATACAATTCATTGTTTACATTGCGGCTAGTGCTAAACCCTTTTTCATTTTTAACTGGAAGTGGAAAGGGGTTGGGCTACATGAGGTGAATTGAGCCAACAAAAATACACAATAGGTGGGACTAAGAAAGATAATGTGAAAGTATAAACACAAAGGCATTGATTAGGGCTGCAAAATGTCTCCCATTGTAATGGTGATTAGATTTGTAAATGCTAACACTTAACAGTTTGTTCTGACTGTGTGTTTCCTGTTTCCTGCAGATGTCCAGCAGCTGGTGGTGGTTAAAGAAGAGCTTCTCCCTGACCAGCAGGAGTGGAGCACCAGTCTGGACCAGGAGGACCCAGAGCCCCCCCCACACATTAAGCAGGAACAGGAGGAACTCAGGATCAGTCAGGAGGGAGAGCAGCTTCAGGAGCTGGAGGAGGCTGATATCACCAAGTCCACTTTCACTCCTGACCCTGTGAAGAGTGAAGACGATAAAGAGAAACCTCAGTCCTCACAGCCTCATCAAAGACAAACTGAACACATGGAAACAGAAGCTGATGGAGATGACTGTCGAGGACCAGAACCAGCAAGGAACTCAGATCCAGAGAGCAGTTTACAACCAAAGACTGAGGACGACACTGGAGACTCTTCTGAACCTGACACTGAAGACAGTGCTGATTGGAAAGAGACCAGAGAACCTGCATCAGGCTCAAACTCACTGAAAAATAGACATGAATCTGTCAGTGATCCACAACGTAGTGCTGAAAATAAACCATTCAGCTGCTCAGTCTGTAAAAAGGCTTTTTCACAGCGTAGAAATTTAAAGGAACACATGAGAATCCACACAGGAGAGAAGCCACACAGCTGCTCGGTCTGTAAGAAAGCTTTTTCACGGTGTGATCATTTAAAGACACACATGAGAATCCACACAGGAGAGAAACCACACAGCTGCTCAGTCTGTAAGAAAGCTTTTTCACATAGTGGAAGTTTAAAGGACCACATGAGAGTCCACACAGGAGAGAAACCACACAGCTGCTCAGTCTGTAAGAAAGCTTTTTCACAGAGTGGACATTTAAAGGACCACATGAGAATCCACACAGGAGAGAAAGCACACAGCTGCTCAGTCTGTAAAAAAACTTTTTCATGGAGTGGAAATTTAAACACACACATGAGAGTCCACACAGGAGAGAAACCACACAGCTGCTCAGTCTGTAAGAAAGCTTTTTCACATAGTGGAAGTTTAAAGGACCACATGAGAGTCCACACAGGAGACTCTCATCTCTCAAGGACCTGAGGAAGGTTGCACAAATTACTCCAAATTACTCCAAACTACTCGCATATAGTTTTTCCAATATTCACGAAACGCTGTATACAAATTCCTCTTATGATTGCAGACATATTTCAAATTTGCTTTTATTAGCCCCACCCCCCAGGAAGTTGGCCATATTCAACAATGTGCGTTTTTCATGCATTTTAAGCAATTTAAAAAAGATGTATAGGCCACGCCCACATTCTGCATTTGTTGCGACACTTTAAATGTCAGTTTGTGGTGACCCCCAGAGTATGTGTAAAAAAATAAAAATTCATCCATACATTCTTGAGTTATAAATTGATAGATCTTTATTTGTCATTGTACAGGTACAACGAAATTACAATAGACTCAAGCTGCCAACACGCAACAACAAGACAATATAAAAACAACAAGACACTATAAAAACAATAAATGGGACTTAAAAAAGACATGATAGGGAATATGTACATAAATAAATAATAAATAAATTAAATTGCACGATTCCCCTCGTATTGCACGGAAGGCTTATATAATTTAAATATTAGCAGCGTTTAGTGCACATATGGCTCTGGAAAAAAACTGAACTTGAGTCTGTTTGTCCGGGAAGACATGGTACGGAAGCGCCTGCCTGAGCGCAGCCGTACGAAGTGCTCGTTACCCGGGTGGTGTGGGTCCTTGAGGATTTTGACTGCCTTCTTAAGGCAACGAGAGCTGTACAGTACCTCCGGGGAGGGGGCAACCGATGATCTTCTGGGCCGAGTTGATGACCCTTTGGAGCGCACCGCTCTCTGCGGCTGTGCAGCTGAGGAACCACACGCAGATGCAGTCGGTGAGGATGCTTTCCACGGCGCAGCGGTAGAAGGACACAAGCAGGTCCTGTCTGAGGTGGTAATTCCTGAGTATTCTCAGGAAGTAGAGTCTCTGCTGCGCCTTCTTGACGGTTGCCGTGGTGTTGGTCCTCCAGGACAGGTCCTCCGCCAGGTGAATGCCCAGGAATTTGATCACTGAGACTCTCTACACACAGCCTCCATCAATGTACAGGGGCTGCATGACGGTCTTCTTCCTCCTAAAGTCAATGATCATTTCCTGGGTTTTCAGCTTGTTCAGCTGCAGGTTGTTTACTTTGCACAACGCTAGCAGTTGCTCCACCTCTTCCATGTACGCGGTCTCGTCACCCCCTGAGATGCAGCCCACCACGGTGGTATCATCAGCGAACTTTATGATGGAGTTGCTGGTGTGGGCGGGGACGAGATCATAGGTGTAGAGGGCGTATAGTAGGGGGCTCAGCACGCAGCCCTGTGGTGATCCGGTGCTGAGACTGAGGGACGTGGAGGTGTGGGTACCAATCCTCACTCTCTGGGGGCGATCAAACAGGAAGTCCTTAATCCATAGACACAAGGAATGGGATACTCCCAGGACTGATAGCTTGGTCACCAGTCTGTCAGGGAGGATGGTGTTAAATGCAGAGCTGAAGTCCACAAAGAGCATCCGTGCGTAGCTCCCCCTACTCTCCAGGTGAGACAGGGTAGAGTGGAGAGCTGTGGCGATGGCGTCCTCCGTGGACCTGTTGGCCCTGTAGGCGAACTGGTGGGGGTCCAGACCGGGAAGGAGGGATGAGACGATGTGGGGACGGACCACCTTCTCAAAAACTTTAGCGGGGGTGGAGGTGAGTGCCACTGGACGGTAGTCATTTAGGCAGCCGATGTTGTTCTTTTTCGGCACCGGTATGATTGTGGATGCTTTCAGGCAGGATGGGACGATGGCCTGGGACAGGGACTGGTTGAAGATCTTGGTGAAGATCCCCGCCAGCTGGTCAGCGCAGTCTCTCAGCACCCGTCCCAAGACTCCGTCCGGCCCCGCTGCTTTCCTCGGGTTCACTGCCTTCAGTGTGCGTCTCACCTCGTGCTCCGTGAGGGTGAGGCTGCTGAGGGCAGGTGGATGTAATGGTGTGGCTGCTTCCGATAGCCCTGTCTCGTAGCGGGCGTAGAAGGAGTTCAGTTCCTCCGCCAGCTGAGGGTCACCCCCGTCGGCCGAGGGGTGGCTGGGTTTGTAGTTGGTCATTTGCTGGACCCCCTGCCACACTCGCCTGGAGTCGTTGCCCCGGAAGCAGTCCTCAATCTTCCCCTTGTAGTCCATCTTGGCCCGCTTGATCCCCCGCTTCAGGTGGGCTCTGGCAGTGCTGTACAGCTCCCTCTCACCAGTCCTGAAGGCAATGTCCCTCTCCCTGACCAGGCGCTGCACTTCTCCAGTCATCCACGGCTTCTCGTTGGGATGAACCTGGATGCGCTTATCCACAGTGACGGAGTCTGAACAGTGCTTGATGTATCCCAGGACTGCTGATGTGTACTGTTCCAGGTCCTCATGTTCGAAAACCCCCCAGTTGGTGTTCTCAAAACAGTCTTGCAGCTGTGGAGTGGCGTCTAAAGGCCAGGTTTTAATTGTATTTATAGTGGTTGAAACACTTTTCCTGATGGGGGAGTAGGCCGGAATTAGGAGAAGGGACACATGATCTGACTGGCCTAGGTGCGCTAGCGCTTTAGCTCTGTAGCCCCCCTTAATATTAGTGTAGACCTTGTCCAGTGTTTTATCCCCCCTCGTGGCACATTTAACATGCTGGTAGAGTCTGGGAAGCACTACCTTTAAGTTGGCATGGTTAAAGTCCCCCGCAATGATGTGGACAGCCTCAGGATACATGCTTTGTTGACTGCTAATAGTATCATGTAGCTGACTTAGCGCCGCGCTAGCATTGGCTTCCGGTGGAATATATACTGCCGTTATCAATACAACATTGAACTCCCTCGGAAGGTATCTAGGTCGGCATTTAACTGTTATAAATTGGTGGTGTTTTTGGCGCCCCCTATAGTCCAAAATGAAAATTATTTGGTGTGCCTATTCCCCAAGACAGATTGAACCTATCCACCAAAGTCTGTGATGTTTGGATACATTGTTGATGAGTTATTTCTTTCTAAGCCCTGCCTTTTTGCGAGTACGATTCATGGCGGCAATATTTATCGTCTGAACATGCTGATTTTCTACGGTAATGTGTCTGACCCTCCACCGATGCTGTATACGAATCTTGGTGTTGAAAAACTGAAAATTGAAATTTAATTTAATATTTCACTGTTTTAGTCAATTATGCTAATTAAAAAATAATAATGTAGGCGGAGCTTAGGGTTCCAAGAGGATTATTTGTAGAGCAGGTCCACCCGGATTTGTGTGCAAAATGTCAGGTCATTTGGAGTTACGGTGCGACTTTGTAAATGTATTCCTAAATGGGTATTTCATAGGTGGCGCTAGCGAGCAAGTTGGACAATTTGAACCCATTGACTCCAGAATATTGTAGTTTTCACCAGTCCTGGCGTCCGTGCAAAATTATACAACTTTTGAAGCGTCCTAAAGGCCTCAAAAACAGGAAACACCAGCAATATAATAAGAAGAAGAATTCCTCCAATAACAATAGGTTCCTCGCACTTCGTGCTAGGACCCCGTTGGGTCCTAGCGCTCCGTGCTCGGGCCCTAATAAAAATAGAGCAGTAATTTACATGGAAATAGAATGCTATGAATGAATTTTGGAATATACACTATGAAATGTGAAATAAGAATATGATGAATATGTGCAGTAAGGAGTATGAACATTGTGTGCATTAATGTAATACATCAGTGTATCCATGGTTATAGCTCCTCCAGATTCAAATAAGCCAAACCTTTTGTACTGTATGTGTTATTTATTGACACTCGCCTTTCCTGAGAAACTCAGACTTTGCCTGGTCCAGTAATTTACGAGAAGCAGTAGAGTAGTTTGACATGTTGTTCTTCTTCATGTTCATGAACAAACATCGGTCGGCTATCTTCTCTATCGCTTCATATTCCAGAGATTTCTGCAGGAACTGAGCGATTCTGCCCACAGAGTCCTTCGGGTCCTGCAGAGAAACACAGATAAGCTCATAGTTCTGCAGTGGCTCTCCCAGTATACAATATTTTAGTAGAAGGAATTTGAAGATGATTACTAAATCAAGGTCAGAATTGTTGAGAAAATATTTGGAAAAGTGATTTGAGGCATATTTGAGGATTGTTCCTGAATCTCACCATTGTCATCTCTTCATAGGAGATGTGCATGAAGTGCTCTTTGTCTTCAGCATTCATCCAGCTCTTTACATGATCAGTTACAAGCCAAACATAACTGTAAGGAACAGAAGACACAAGTATTCCATTAATAAGAGGTTATCAAAACTTAGTATTAGTATCTTTCAAGATCTCCCTTGTTAAAGGCTACATATAATGCAAAATGCACTTGCTAATGGCTTTGCAAGATAAACATGTATCCATGGTGTGCTCGCGACCCACAATGTATAAGAATGGATCATCTTCTCTATTTGACTCTTGCTGTTATTTTGGGTTGCTTTAAAAAGACAGGTGCTGAAAATTAGCATTTTCAGAGAATTTATAAGAACAAGAATGTGTTTTCTGAACATTAAAGTTTGTTATCATGGGCTAGAAAAATCCCAAAACACAATTAAGAATGTACGGAGCCCTGGAGGGCTCATAGAGAGAAAAATAAATAAAACGTGGCCACGCTTTATTAACTCGTGCGCACAAGTTAATAAAGCGTGGCCACGTTTTAAATACATTGAGGCCACGCTTTATTAACTCGTTAAAAGTGTTACGTGGCCTGTACTACGAAGCAGGATTTGCTATTGACATGTAATGTAATGTAATGTATTCCCAAGTGAAAGAAATGTGTTTAATCTTAATCTCGATGTAGTGCTATAGTCCTGCCGGAGTGCACCGGAACGAACGACACTATCATAAACAAATTCCCACACACGCCCTGGCGACTGGACATATTCTTCATAAATCGAATCAATTTAAATAAAACGAGGCCACGCTTTATTAACTCGGGCGCACGAGTTAATAAAGCGTTCGCACGAGAAAGTATCTTGTGCGAACGAGAAAGTAAAACGTGGCCACGTTTTTTTTATTTTTCTCTCTATGAACCCTCCAGGGCTCCGTAAGAATGTGCATGATAAGTCCCTTTTTAAATCATGTTACCAGGTAAAAAGTGTTTTAAGAGTTTTCGTCCCACTTACTGATATGTATGGTGTTATGAACGCATTCTAAACACAGGTGTAACAATCAGAACAACCTTTTCCATCAAGGAACTTGTGGAGGAACTGGGTCTGTGGGCCTGGGTTTACCAGGAAGGAAGCCGCCTCATGAAGATGAAAAGACGATGTGAACACATCTTTGGGGTTCCTCGTCACATAGATGACCTGCAGTGATGACATGACGTCAGACCCTTTCCTTCAAACATACTGTCTGTGATGCGTTTATCGCATTGAATCTGATCTGCCTTAGTTGATAGGTTTACCTTTGGCTTTACTTCAAAGAAAGATGGTGGCATCATGTTGTAATGGAAGTGTGTAGTCAACAGTCGTGGAGACGGCCTCTGTTCGAGTTTGAGGGAGGCCGTCTTCTGCACTTCAAGCCAGGGAACACGTTTCCAGTTAACAATAGTGTCAACGGGTGCTGGATCTCCTCCACTCATGATCAGAGGGACAATCTCCCTCATCCAATTTGTACCTAAAAACAAACAAAATATTTTCTTAAATATGTATTTATTAGCCCTTGCAAAACTAGGTGTGAGGTGAAATTATACCCATTTTCATCCTCCCCCTTACTTTTGTTAGCTTGTATTTAAATGCGGCCTTCAGAATAAGATAACCGTGAATTGTTAATACCATGAAAACATTCAAAAGGTTACAGGCGATAACCAAAAAGGAGGATGGGGTTTTTATTATCTTGTGTGCTTGCCAAAAGTAATACTTCATACACATGCCCAAACACACCATCCAAAAGATGGTTCAACTATTATTGAAAAGTGATAACAATCTCTGGCCAAATGTCAATCTCCTCTCTGTCTCAAGTTAACTTCTTATTTCATTTAATTTTACAAAAAATGTTACTAAGCCGTTTGTATATTGTGTTGAATCACCAGTAAAAACGTTGCTTTGTAGCTATTTGTAAATGTTTTGGGTTGATTCAATACATGAAGGGACACAACATTAGAATCAAGTTAAAACATTAAGTAAGTAATGAATTGTTTTATACCATTTCTCATCAAAAACAGAGGAACTAACTTGCTGATACTTGGATCATTGGCATACAGTAGTAGGGTCATTGTCCTCAACCGGACCTCAGAGCATGGACAGAGAAATCATGGTACTGCTGTAGGCCTTGACCAGGGCCGGACTGGGACAATAATGGCACATTTCCACTGCAGCGGGGTAGCCCCGTTTAAGCGTCCTCGCTCAGGCCTCGGGCTGCCTCGCTGGCCGTCCGAGGCCGTGGCGCATTTCCATTACAGTTTAGGACCTGGGGTAGCAACGCAGTGTAGGCGGGGCGATCGGCTTCACATTGCGAGTTGTTCCGTCGAGCTCCTGCTGGATTTTATCATCCCCAATGAGATGTAGGAACGTCGTCACCTCCTCGGTCGACCACGGTGTGCTTTTCTTTGACGTTGCCATTTTTGTAGCTCCTCCGTTTACAAAAATGCTGTGTATAAAAATGCTGGAAGCTTGCTTCTAGATATATATGCGACCAGGGCCGTATCCAGGATTTCCTAAATACCGAGGTCCAACCATGCTAGGGGGGTTCGGGGGATACCCCCCGAGATTTTTGGGCTTTTCATGATCTAGTTCTAGGTGCTTTTTAAGTCCTGTGGGGGGGTCACACATTGGATAATATATTGATTTCAAACCATGTCAGTGGGCTGAAAATGTCAGCATCAATTATTTTTGGAAGTGTAATGCATAAGAATCAGTTGATTGTTACTATTAATGATCTGGACATGCAGAAGAGGCTAAAATGATCATAAAACATTGTCAACATTCATTTTCCATGTCTCTCTCCTTTCCATAACCTGCAGCCTCTCTTCCATCTTCTTGAGTCTCTGTCTTCTTCCTGTTCATTACTCTCTCTGTCCTCTACTCTTTCTCTTTGTTCAATCTCTCCCTCGTTGTTCACTTTTTGCTCCTCCTCACTTGTCGCTCCTGCCAGTGAATTAAAAGCAATTCAGCAATTTAGTTCATTTCACTTGTTTGTTTGCATTCTTTTTTTATTTAAATCTGTTATATTTGATTCCCAAAAGAGAACAAAGATGTAAGCAAATTGTGTTTTATACAATTGTATGTTATTATCATAACCTGCAATATATGTATGTTTTAAAATGATGCCTATTGTAAATGAAGACCAAAGCTGAGCTTCGACTGACGTAGTCTTTTCATTATATCTGAGTCAATGTAAAAAGAAAACAATACAATGTTATATCTTCAATGTTTTACTCAAATTGAAATGCTGCCTTTGTGGCTGCCCACAAAGGCAGCATTTCTGCTTGCCATAGCCTCAGGGAAGCGAGTCGGGGAGTTGCATGTCCTCTCCATAAACAATACATGCCCGAGGTGGGACTCTCAGGCGTTGCCCTTTGGGCAAATGTGGCATTCCGGCCCGGGGTCCTTCCACAAACCCACTTCAATCAGCCTGCCCAGCTGGCACGCTTTGACATTCAGGAGTACGGCACGTCGAAGTTGCTGTGCCCTGGGGGTGCCCAAAGGGCGTATATCAAGGCTACTGCCTGTATACGGCAGTAGGAGCAACTCTTGATTTTGCCCTGGCGGCACTAAAGGAGGTTATGCCCTCTAACCAGTGGCTGCCCCACTGGGTTGTCGATACCATCTCACAGGCTTACGGGGCCAGTGGCCGCCCCCTGCCATCAGGCTGAGATGCCACTCTACAAGGAGCATCTCAACATCTTGGGCTGCCCTGAGGGTGGTGCCCCTGGAGACCATCTACGCCGCGGCGTCGTGGGCGTCTTCTGGCACATTCTCCAGTTGTCATCAGGTCAATGTCGCCACTCCCCATTCTTTGGGCGTGGTCCTTTTGCCGAGCTCCGCTGTTTCCAGTGGTGAGCAAGGGCTTGGATTCTTCATGACATTGTTGGTATAAGTCATCCAGTGCTTAAAGCACCGCCTCTGGCGGTCAGTAGGGACGAAATAGAACGATAGTTACGGCTGTAACTACGGTTCTATGAGTCCCGGATGACCGCCAGAGTTCCCTGTCACTCAGAATTCTTGTGTGCTCGCGAGAAGATTCTGGGAACAGATCCTCTGACGACACCGGCTGATATAGCCGGTGTCACGTGGGTCACAGGTGACTTTGTTGTTATTGGTACTCGAGCTGCGCATGCGCGCGATGGACATATCCAGTGCTTAAAGCACCGCCTCTGGCGGTCATCCGGGACTCATAGAACCGTAGTTACAGCCGTAACTATCGTTTTATGGGGCCGTAAAAAGAGGGGAAAAGTACCCGCTAGCCGGGGCTACGCTATATGGAAAGGCCACCAAAAACTGGCCTGGCCACTTGAGAACGATTAAGGACGCTTAAACGGGGCTACCCGCTGCAGTGGAAATGCGCCATAAGTCAGGCCGGGAATTATACACCCAACCAGGCCACTACCAGTTTTCTTTTGTGTCATTTTCCTGGATTTATTTGTCAATATTTACAGCGTTGCTGCCCATAGTGATAGCCCTAAACTTTAAAACTGCCCCAGAATAAACATATGGACATGGGTTACTATTTTTTTTTAAAAGTGCAAATCTATTTAGGAACCTATCTGTGGAAGCTATTCAGTATTTTTCACATTTATTTAATGTATGTATTTGTTATTTTTTGTTTTGTAGAATTCATTAATTTACAGCCATATTATTTAAGTTAAGTTGTGTTCCAGCTAAAATGCTTTTATTTTGAAGGTGATGGGTCAATTTGGGCACACAGCTGGGTTTATTTAAGTCAATCAGGGCACAGCAGCAGTCAGTGGGCACCGGGAAGGTCGATATTTTTTTACCAGTGTCAGGGCTAAGTTCAGCAAACATTTAAACACCTTTTGCTGTATTGTTCCCGCAAGGTGAAGCTAATAAATACCACAAAAACGTCGATGCCTTGTCTGGACAATGGATTAATTACCAACTCCTGATCTGCGTAAGATCCACTATACCTGGTGCCTCAGTGGCCTTTTGAAACTTTATTGTTGTTGACAAATAGCCACTACACTATCCATGTGAACATATTTTAAGTGGAGGTGGACCTCAAATCCTCTAGGGGGGTCCGGGGGCATGCTCCCCCGGTAAGATTTTTTTTTTTAAATGTTGGACTTAAATGCATCAATCTGGTGCACTTTGAGGGGGAAATAAAGAGACTA